AGAGACGGGGTTTCACCATGTTGACCAGGATGGTCTCGATCTCTTGACCTCGTGATCCACCCGCCTCGGCCTCCCACAGTGCTGGGATTACAGGCTTGAGCCACCGCGCCCAGCCGCAAGTAAAGTTTTAAGGAGGAGTGAAGACTTTTACATAAAGTGTCTCCTCTCCAAATATTTGTTAATTACTAAGGGAAAAATGGTAACTTCACAATGGCAAATTCTGGCAGGAATCAACTTAAAGTGATCAAAGTCAGTACTATCGTACTGAGACCAATTAACATCGTATGCAAATATGTAACAGCTGGCTGGTGGGGCCTGGATTTGCAACATTTGCTGACTTTTGTGGCGTAAAAATTCCTGCAAGCTGGTTGCATGGCTCATGCCTGTAATCCCAGCACTTTGGGAAACTGAGGCAGGAGGATGCGTTGGGGCCAGGTCTTTGAGACAGGCTGGGAAGTGTAGCAAGATCCCATCCCAACTGGAGGACCCTGGGTAAAGAGAATGTTCGAGGTTTGTGGTGGTGGTGTTTTTGTTCGTTTTGTTTTTTTTGAGTCAGGGTCTCGCTTTGTTGGCCGGCCTAGAGTGCAGTGGTGCGATCTCAGCTCACTGCAGCCTCCACTGCCTGGGCTCAAGCGATCCTCCCACCTCAGCCTTCTGAGTAACTGAGACCACAGGCACGCCCCACCATACCCAGCTAATTTTTGTATTTTTAGTAGAGATGAGGTCTCACCATGTTGCCCAAGCTGGTCTCGAACTCCTGGGCTCAGGCAATTTGCTCATCTCGGCCTCCCAAAGTGCTGGGATTACAGGCATGAGCCCCTGTGCCTGGTCTGTTAACAGTTTTCTGTACTATTCTTGCAACTTGTTTTGAAATTATTTCAAAATGATCAGATAAATGCTCCGTGGACATTTAGTTCAATAGGACTAGGCCACGAGGAACAAAGGCAAGAAAGAAGAACTGGACACAGGCAAGACTGTTACTGGTTCATTCTGCCAAATCAGAGATCACAGCAATTCAGGCCAGAGGCTGTCTGCATCTGCCGTGCTGGAGATCCCCTGCAGCCACGGCAACTTGCTACAGAATCCATTCTGCTAAAGTCCATCTTTACCAACTGTTAAATGTAAGTTAGTGAGTTGGGACCTAAAAGAGGTCTTCAGGGATTTGGAGAGGCAATGAATCACCTGCAGAGTTAGACAGGACCCTACGGGCTGTCTTCTTCCACCCGGGCACAGCCTGTGATTGCTGACTCCTGGTGGGCAAGGTTTTCCCAGTTCCAGGAACCAAATGAATTCTTTGATTCCCTGCCACCCTTGAGTTGAGTGAGGACAGGCCTGGCTTCTTGCATCCTTCTCCCAAGGACAGGCAAGGAGCTGCACTCTGATCACACAAGGTCTTTTACTTGGGGGGGCTCTGTTGTACTCCCCCCTGCCTTGGCAGCCGGCTGAACAGACACAGAGACACCCACTCAGTCAATGCATTGTTTATTGAACGCTAACTGGGTTTGGGTTAGCAAACAGGCTCTGAGTTAGCAGCGTGCATGATCAGAAACAATCATGAGTGCCTGCCCACGGGGGGCTTGCAGTCTGGAGGGGCGAGACTGTAGACACAGAAGTAAATGTCCAATTATAAATCGTGATTAGAGGCACGATGGAAAAGGGCAAGGCTTCCTGCGAGAAACACGGCAGGCACAGGACAACCTCTGAGACAGCGACAGGAACCTGAAACTTGAAGGGTAAACAGGAATATGTGAGACAAAAGGGAGAAACGAACATGCTTGCTGGGCACAGTGGCTCGCCAGCACTCTAGGAGGCCAATGCGGGCAGATCATGGGTCAAGAGATTGAGACCATCCTGGCCAACATGGTGAAACCCCGTCTCTACTAAAAATACAAAAATTAGCCGGGTGTGGTGGTGCGTGCCTGTAATACCAGCTACTCGGGAGGCTGAGGCAGGAGAATCACTTGAACCCGGGAGGCGGAGGTTGCAGTGAGCTGAGATCACACCACTGCACTTCAGCCTGGCAACAGAGACCCCGTCTTAAAAAAAAAAAGGAGGTTCCATGGAGAGAGGAGAAAAGACTCAGGCACAGTATAGAGCTGGGGACATCTGAAGAAGAAAGGGCCTCTGGGGTGGGGGGCCCTCGGGGTGACGGAGAGGAAGCCACTGGAAGGGATCCAGATGAAATCAGATGCTGTATGCCCTGTGGAGACACTGGTGTTCCTCTAATTGCACTGGGTTGTAAGCAAAGGAGTCACCTGATTTAATTTGATATTTAAAAAGTCAGGCTGGGCACGGTGGCTCACGCCTGTAATCCCAGAACTTTGGGAGGCCCAGGCTGGTGGATCATGAGGTCAGGAGTTCGAGACCAGCCTGGCCAACATGGTGAAACCCCGTCTCTACTAAAAATACAAAAAATTAGCTGAGCATGGTGGTGCACCTGTAATCCCAGCTACTTGGAAGGCTGAGGCAGGAGAATCACTTAAACCTGGGAGGCGGAGGTTGCAGTGAGCCAAGATCATGCCATTGTACTCCAGCCTGGGCGACAGGGCGAGACTCCGTCTCAATACAAAAAAAGTCATTCTACTCTGTGAAGAAAGAGCTGGAGGAGGCAAAGGGAAGACAGGGGAGATCAGTGAGGAGGCTGTTGTCATAACTCAGGTGTGGGCCTGGTGGCTTGGACTTGGTAGCAGCTTGCAGGCAGAGTGCCTCTGTCCGGGTCCGGATGCAGGGAGTGGGGGACAGCGCAGCATCGAGACTTTCTGCTTTGATCAACTGGGTGGAATGGACGGAGCTATCTTTCACCAGATATGGGAAAGGCCAGGGAAAGGTTTAAAGGCTGACTGTGGTGGCTCATGTCAGTAATCCCAGCACTTCGGGAGACTGAGGCAGGAGGATCACTTGAGACCAGGAGCTGGAGACCAGCCTGGGCAATGTAGCAAGACACTCTTTAGAAAAATTAAAGTAGAGAAAAAGAAAGGTTTAAAGGGAAGAGATTGAGGATTCAGAATTGTACCTCCTCAGTTTCAGAGATTCCTTTGAGCTCTTCAAGTACATAAATAAATGTGGGAATCATTAACAAATAAATGGTGTGAAAGGCAAGGGAATGGATGAGACCACCCAGGAAAAGAGTACACAGAGAGAAGGGAAATAAAAAGGACAGAGTTAAAGAGATCGGAACAGGCCAGGCGTGGTGGCTCACGCTTATAATCCCAGCACTTTGGGAAGCCGGGGCGGGTGGACCACCTGAGGTCAGGAGTTTGAAACCAGCCTGACCAACAAGATGAAACCCCTTCTCTACTAAAAATACAAAAATCAGCTGGGGATGGTGGCACACACCTGTAATCCCAGCTACTCGGGAGGCTGAGGCAGGAGAATCACCTGAACCTGGGAGGCGGAGGTTGCACTGAGCCAAGATGGCACCATTGCACTCCAGCCTGGGTGTCAAGAGCAAAACTCCATCTTGAAAAAAAGAATTTATTTATGTATTTATTTGTTTGTTTGTTTTAAAAGACGGGATTTCACCATGTTGGTCAGGCTGGTCTTGAACTCCCAACCTCAGGTGATCCGCCCCCGTTGGCCTCCAAAATGCTTGGATTACAGGCATGAGCCACCATGTCCGGCCAAAAAAAAATTTTTTTAAACAGAGAGATCAGAATAGAAGAGAGTCCAGGACTGAGCCCTGAGGACACAGCACAGAGGTCAGAGAGGAGGAGATTCTGAAGTAGGGAAGCTGGAAGCGATGGACACAGAGTGGAGAAAATCAGGAGGGTCAATGCTGCTGCAGCTGAGGGAGAATGTTCCAGAGGATGAAGCTGGTCAGCCAGCCAAGTGCTTCTCACAGGGTCGCTCTGTACCCAGGCCATTGATTTGATGGGGACATGGAGCTGATTCAAGAACGGGTGAGTGGCGGTGGCAGCACGTGCGGGAAGGCAGCTCATGGAGGATGGCTAGTTTCTGCTCACTCCGTGCCACATCTGCTATGAACTTATCCCACCTCTTCTTCCAGACTGCCATGAAAGTATTTTTCTCAATCTCCAACAGGCTACTGTACCTGCAGGAAGAGGAGGAGCCCAGGTGAGCCTCGGGGCAGGGGCTAGGAATGGGGCAGGGAGCCTGAAGGGACATCGGAGGCTTGCAGAGCAGTCTCCCCAGTCCAGCAGCAAGGACTAACCAGCCATGATAAGAAGGAACCCACAGAAACTATTGAGGCATCGGCCTCAAGCCTCCTCAGATGCGAACACAAGCTGTGGGCTGGAAGGCGGGCAGGGGTCCTCGGAGGACATGAGACACTCACTTGATAGAGTTGATGGCCAGCTGTTTGAGGGTCCTCAGGTCAGCCTTCATCCCCCCAATGCCCATGAAGACCTCATAGAAATCGTAGGACAAGCCTTTGGCACCAAAGATCGCGGGGTCATCAGAGCTGATCACCACGGGGTGCCCAATGGCCATCAGAGTAGCTGCAGGGTGGTTTCTCAAATCAGACACCAGTTTCAGAACCTGCCCGGTAGGAGGCAAGGGAGAAAGATGAACTCTGATCCCTAAAAAGAGTAGTCACAGGTGAAATGAGACCTGGAGCCCCCATCAGCTCCCTTCATCTCCCCATCACTATCTCCCCAATATGGGGATGACTTCTGGGCAGTCACAAGGAGAACAGGGCCAGTCCCCATGCGTCTCTTCCTGTTTCATCAGCACCACAAATATTCAGTCACTTCTGGTCCTGCTCAGAGAAGCGCTAACTGAACACAGACACAAAAGACCCCAGGAAGCACTGGCCGCCCCCTGTGTCCTTTTTGCTCTGTCCGCAGTTTTGCCCAAAATTCCACCCAACTGGGGACCCTCATGGCTGCCACATTCTTACTGGTGGCTTAAGCAAAAGGCCCCTCCGGAATAACTCTACTAACAGGTGGGAGAGTGGAGGGATTTTGGTAACAAGAGAGTTAAGGAGAAAAAAGTTATACTGGAAAAACTTTAAGAGGGCAGAGGCTGCAGTTAGGGGAGATCACATGGGATCAGCCGCATGAGTCACATACAGTCACACATACCTGGTTAGAGATGGGACAGACTTCTATGGGGATGTCCTTTTTCTGCGAGTAAGCCCTGAGTGCAGGGTGTTTGCTCAAAGCAAATCCATGTCCGATTCTGGTAGTGTTTAGCATCAAAGCATCCAGAATGTTCTTGTCTATGGAAGTGCCCTGCCAGTCTGAAGACAAGGGAATGGTCTTCTATGGGGCACGGATGGGTCTGACGCCCTAGAACATCCTCAAATAAACAGCCCCCCAAGCACGCAAATGAAATTAACACAAATACACACACACACAGTTTCCTTTTAACAATGCTAAAGAGAGGTATGATACGGCTTTATTAATCATCTAATTTATTAATTTATCATTCTAATGAGGAAGTCAAAACTTAATAGCTTTTATGAATTGACCAAGGATGACATTCACCTAGTAAGTAGCAAAACCGA